GGAGGGGATAGGTGGGAGGAAGAACAGGTTAGGGAGGCAGGGACGAGCTGGACTGGTTTTGGGATGCGGTGGGGGGAGGGGAGATTTTGAAACTTGTGAAATCCACATTGATACCATTGGGCTGCAGGGTTCCCAAGCGGAATATGAGTTGCTGTTCCTGCAACCTTCGGGTGGCATTGTTGTTTCACATTGATACCACATTGTAGAATGGCTCATATTTCCTTACGTACCTGTTCTGACTCTGTTAGTTTCATGGCTTCTCCGAGATGATCTGGGTGGAAAGAAGAAATCCAATGTCAGTGACACGGCTTTATCAAGTGATTCGACCACACTTCACAAAGCACACTTTGCATATGGAGCTGACCAGAAGAGAAAGATAAACAGGGATTTACAGCTAACGGTAGGACTGTGCCACACATTTTTGTCTTCTGATTTGAACACTATTACATCTTAGCTAAAATTATTTTTTGTCCAATAGTTATCATTGACTCAAAAATTAGACTATGGAGCTTTTGTTTCATCCGCATGCATGACATTCAGTAGAAAATACCTTAACACACACAGATTACTAAAACATTTATAAATCATTTACAACAATCAATAAACCCTCGCTCATGCACTGCTTTTGCTCTTATCATTTTACTAACTAAAAGATACTGAAGTTCACTCAAACTGTATAGCAAATATTGAAATTGCATGATTCGATGCAGCTTGTGGCTAATACTGGTCTATACAAGGGTTTAAGAGCAAATCACAAGCTGAGAAAATTATCTTACAGTGCTTTATAAACATTTCCAGAATCCGGGATCCAGGAATACGTTTTCCAGCTTGAACACTGCATTTAAACACAAGTGCTTATCGCCAATATATTAGGTTGTGAATTGGAGTTCATGTCTCAAATTATTGCCATTTTGGGGAGAGCACCTCTTAAATGTGAGGCAAACAAAGGGGGACTGCTGGACCTGAACAAAAGATGAAAATACAAAAGTATTTTAACTGTGTCAACATTAGACTATGCCTTTTTTTTAAGTTCTGGAATACAGTGAGAATGAGCCACAGTACCGTTTTCCTGTTGAATCACTCGACAAGAGACCAAAATGCAGATGCTGGTTGTGAGATTACTACACTTGATGGAAAGATTACTTAGCAATGCTGTTGATCATAGCACATTGTTAGTGATGTGATTTTAACTGTTTTTAGTGCAGCTGTATTGAACTTTTGCATTTTAGTATTGTTATTTTTAACTGTGACACACACTAAGATTTTTTTCTAATCTCAAACACACACAGGCACCTCTACGGATATATATTTAAAAGCATCATGTTGTTAATTGGTTAAATACTATCAGAGCGTTAAAGCCAGAGGCATAGGCGTGGGACAATTTTGCACTCATTAAAATTTAATTCTACCAGCAAGGAACAATAGGATAAGAATTAAGCTCAGGAAGTACTGTACAGCATATAAATGTACAGGAATCTGCAAATTCTGAGACAGGCTGGCAAGAGCTCTAAATGATGAAATATCCTTCTACACTTCACATAGTTTCTCCAGATACATGCACAAGGCTTCCTTCAATTTCCTTATACTATTTGTCCCAACTGCACCCACTAATAGTCGTTCATTACCCAAGTCCTTTTCAAGCTGCAACCTGAAAGCTCCCAACCAGGCAACAAACAAATTGGTCCTTTTTACGTTGCTCCACAGAAAATATTAATGGGATTGCACACTTCAACAAAATCACCTGTGCACTCCAAAATGCACATCGTTCATACCTATCCATTTTAAATAGTTCCACCTAAACTGCATTCTCAGACTCCTTCATCTTAGAGACACAGAAAACAGGAATAGGCCATTCAGCCCTTTGAGCCTGCTCCACCATTCAATACGATTATGGGTGATCATCCAACTCAGTACTCAACTTAGCTTTATCCCCATGTCCTTTGGTCTCTTTAGCCCTAAGAACTATATCTAACTCCTTGAAAACATTCAAAGTTTTGGCCTCAACCTTCTGTGGCAGAGAATTCCACAGGCTTACTACTCACTGGGTGAAGACATTTCTCTTTCTCTCAGTGCTAAATGGCCTACCCTGTAGCCTTACACTGTGACCCCTGGCTTGGGACTCCCTGCTCATTGGAACATGCTTCTTGTGTTTACCTCGTCTAGTCCTGTTAGAATTTTATAGGTTTCCATGAAATACCGCACTCACTCTCCCAAACTCTAGTGAATATAGTCCTAACTTATATAGTCTATCGTCATACATAAGTCCTGTCCACCCAGAAATCAGTCTGAGAAACCTTTGTTGCACTCCCCCACCCCCACAGCCAGAATATCCTCTCAGATAAGGAGTCCAAAACCGCACATAATTCTCCAGGTGTGGTCTTACGAAGGCCTTGTATAACTGCAACAAGACATTATTCTTCCTGTACTTGAATCCTCTTGCTATGAAGGCCAACCTTCCTCACTGCTTGCCGCACCTTTTTTTTCTCCTTTATTCATTAACAGGATGAAGACGGCGCTGGCCAGGCAGCATTTATTGTTCATACCGAATTGCCCAGGGGGCAGTTCAGAGTCAACCACATTGCTGTGGGTCTGGAGTTACATGTAAGCCAGACCAGGTAAGGATGGCAGTTTCCTTCCCTAAAGGACATTAGTGAACCAGATGGGTTTTTCCAACAATCGACAATGGATTCATGGTCATGATTAGATTCTTAATTCCAGATATTTTATTGAATTCAAATTCCACCGGCTGCCGTGTTGGGATTTGAACCTGGGTCGCCAGAATGTTATCCGGGTCTCTGGATTAACTGTCCAGCAATAATACCACTAGGCCATTGCATCCCCTATTATGTTTGCCTATATGCTTACTTTCAGCAACTGGTGTAATAGGACACCCAGATCTCATTGCATCTCCCCCTTTCCAAATCTGTTGCCATTCAGATAATGATCTGCCTTCCTGTTTCTGCTGCCATGAATAACCTCACATTTATCCACATTATACATCATCAGCCATGCATTTGTTCAGTCACTCAACTTGTCCAAATTACACTGAAGCATCTCTGCATCCTCCTCACAATTCACCCTCTCAGCCAACTTTGTATCACCTGCAAACTTGGAGATACTACTTCTAGTTTCATCATCTAAATCATTAACATACATTGCAAATTGCTGAAGTCCAAGCACTGCTCCCTGCAGTACCCCACTAGTCACTGGCTGCCTTTCAGAAAATGCCTGTTTATTACCACTCATTTCCTGTCTGCTGACCAGTTGTCTCTCTATGTCAGTAGACTAACCCCAATCCCACGTGCATTTTACATGCTAATCTATTATGTAGGACCTTATCGAATGTCTTCTGAAAGTCCAATCAAACCACGTTCACTGGCTCCACTTATCAACTCTACAAGTCATGTCCCTCAAAATTTACAACAGATTTATCAAGCATGATTTCCTTCTCATAAATCCAACTGATCCTGCCACTGTTTTTCCAAGTGTTCTGCTTTTAAATCTTTAATAATGGATTCTAGCATTTTCTTCACTACCAACATCAGGTTGGCTGGTATAGAGTCAGAGCCATAGAGCTAAGCGGCACAGAATCAGATCTTTCAATCCAACTGTCCATGCCGACCAGATATCCTATATAAATCTAGGCCCATTTGCTAGCATTTGGCCCATATCCCTCTCAACCCTTCAGAGTCATGTACCCATCCAGATACCTTTCAAATGTTGCAATGTCTTTAATTCCCCATTTTTTTTCCTCTACCTTCTTTTTCTTAAGTAGTGGGGTTACATTAGCCAATCCAAAGGAACCATTCCAGAGTCTACAAATTCTTGAAAGATGACCACCAATGCATCCATTATTTCTAGGGTCACTTCCTTAAGTACTCTGGGACGTAGAATTTTGGACCCTGGGGATTTATCAGCCTTTTTATCCCATCAATTACCATTTCCCTACTAATACTGATTTCCTTCAGTTCCCCCCTATCACTAGACCCTGTGGTCCCCAACATTTTGGGTCAATACTTGTGTCGTCTTTTGTGTAGACAGGACTAAAATATACATTTAGTTGGTCTGACACCTTTGTTCCCTATTTTTTTTTGTTGCCGAATGCAAAGGAGCTGCATTTGCCTTCACTAATCTTTTTTGCTTCACATAAGCTTTTACGGTCAGTTTTTCTGTTCACTGCAAACTTGCTTTTATACTCCATTTTAATCCCTTTGTACTCCTTTGCTGAAATCTAAACTGCTCCCAATTCTCAGGTCTGCTGCTTATTTTGGCTACACTGTATGCTCTTTCCTTGGATCTAATATTATGCCCAATTTCCCTTGATAGGCAGGGCTAGTCCACCTTTCCCAATTATTTCTGGGCCAGGCAGGAATGAACAATTGAATGATACGATTTCTCCATCACTCTTAAATTGTTTGCCATTGCTTACCAAGCACTGTGATACTCTTTTAAGTAACATTTCTCAATCTATCATAACCAGCTCTTGCCTTATACTACCACAGATTCCTCTATTTTTATTCAGGACCACAGCCTCAGAATCAACTGTCACTTTCCATTTTAACGAAGAATTCTATCATATTATGATCACTATTTCCCCAAGGACAGTCACACAACTTGATTGCCATTCTTCCTTTCTCATTACACAATACCCAGTCTAGGATGGTCTGTCCTCTTGTTGGTTCCTCAACACATTGATCCGGAAAACCATCATGTGCACAATCCAGGGATTCTAATCTACATGCAGATTAAACTCACCCATTTTACAGCGATACCTTTATTGCTTGCAGGTCTAATTTCATTTTTAATGCCTTCCCTAGCATTACCACTACAATTACCACTACAATCCCTCCATAGTTTTCTGACCCCTGGTGTTTCTAAACTCAATCCATCTAGATCCCACTTCACTGGAGCTAATATTCTTCCTCACTACTGCGTTAATCTTCTCTTTAACAAGCAATGCTACCGAACCTCCCTTTTTTCTCTTTGGCCGCCCTTCCTGAAAAACTGAATACTTTTGGATATTCAGTTCCCATCCTTGGTCACCCTGTAACCACATCTCTATAATCCCAATTAGATCATATCTGCTTATATCTATTCGTGTGACTAATTCAACCACTTCAATGCAAATGCTCTGCATATGAAGACAGGAAGCCTTAAATCTTGCTTTAATGTTTTTAGACCTGTTCATATTATTTTACACCACGGTTTGAATTCTTTGCCCAACACTTTTCTTCTTTTTGATGTTGCCTTTTGTTTTTGACCTCGTTTCCCTCTCTGTCTCCCTGTATAGGTTCCCAACACCCTTCCATTTTGGTTTAAACCCTGCCAAACTGCCTGGCAATAACTCCCCAAGGACATCATCTCCCAGGCATAACCCATCTGGCTTGTACTGATCGTGCCTCTCGCAGAACTGGCTCCAATGCTCAAGGAATCCAAAACCCTCCCCCTTGCACCATATCTAGAGCCACATATTCATCTGATATATCTGCTATTTCTACTTTGACTAGCACATAGAAATCCTGAGATCAATACCTTTGAGGTCCTTCTTTTTCTTAAAAAAAAGAGAAATTGCTGGAAAAGCTCAGTAGGTCTGGTAGCATATGTGGAGAGAAATCAGTTAACATTTCGGGTCAAGTGACACTTCCTCAGAAGTGATGGTAGCTAGAAAAATGTCAATTTATATGCAGATTTTTTTTTTAAACTTGCTTCCTAACTCCTATATTCTGCTTTTAGTAACACATCCCTTTTCTTACCCATGTTGATGATGCCCATGTTTACCACTACCCTTGACTGTTCACCCTCCCATGCCAGAATGTCCTGCAACTGCTCAGAGATATCCTTGAACCTGGAAGCAACATATCATTCTGGAGCCTTATTTACTACTTACAACTGAACTCCCTATTACTCTAGCCTTCCCACACTTATTCCTCCTCTCATACAGCAGAGCCAACCACAATGCAAAGAATTTGGCTGCAGTCACTTTCCTCTGAGAGGTCATTTCCCCCAACTGTATCCAAAACGGTGTATCTGTTTTGGGGGAATAGCGTCAGAGGGACTTCTGCACTGCCTGCTTAGACCTCTTTCTCAGACTGACGATCATCCATTCCTCCCTGTCTGTGGAGTCTTTGCCAGCAGAGTGTCCACCTCTCTGTACATGTTAACCATGATACTGTCAGTCTTGTGGATGCTCCACCATGTCCCCAGCCACTGCTCCATCTCTGAAAGCCCAGGTTTCAGGAGCTGCATTTGGAGACTGTTCCTGCACACGTTCTGGTCCCCTGCACTGGAACTGTAGCCCACATCCCACATCGAGGAGGAGGAGCAACATACTAGGGGCCTTAAGCTCTCCTCCAATGACCTACGCTTTTAAATTAACCCCTTAGATTACTCTTAAAATCAATTAACATTAATTACTGAAGGGCTCTTTTTACTGGAACTCTGCAATAATACCCTTACACACTTTAAATCAAGCAAATTCAACTGCAAGAGCACTGCAGTTAAAATATTGGATAAGGTGGTTTCTAAGATCCTCACCTCATCATGAATTTATACATTTCTATTTTCTGTCACAAAGACAAGAGAGTAAGCGTGCTCAAAATCTAGTACATCAGCATGGACGTGTAAAAGTCGACCGTGTGAGAAATTTGTTTAAGGCCTGTGATGAAGTAACAGAGTTGAAGAGGATGGTGCAGTTGATGTCGTGTGCATGAACTTTCAAATGATGTGCAATAAAATACCACAATAAATCCTGTTTTAAAAATGAAATTACAGGATTGACAGAAGAGGAATGGTGTGGATATGGAAATAGGTGAAGTACAAAAAGCAAAGAGTAGCGTAAGCAGCTATTCTATAGATGGTAAGTCCCTTTCCAGAAAGGTCGCTTTTAGGACCAATTGCCGTCTGTGATATATATTAATGCATTGGAATATGGGACAAAATTTCAAAGCTTGTAAATAACAAAACCAGAAAATTTAACAATTAGGTAATAAACAGAAACGAGGAGGATAATTCCACGAGATTCTTTTCGCCCCAGCATTTTCTGTTTTTATTTCAAAAGCATGTGGGCAGGCTGATGGAATGGTCAGATACTTCACAGATGACACTTATTCAGAGAAGCACTCACTTCCAAAAAGTATCACGTCACATTTTTCAACATTAAATTTCATTTACCCATTTCACCAGTTTCATAAAGTCTGTTACAACAATAGCAGCAGTGTGTCCTATCTACAAGATGCACTGCAGAAATTCACCAAAGATCCTCAGACAGCACGTTCCAAACCCACAACCACTTCCATCTAGAAGGACAAGGGCATCAGACATATGGGAACACCACCACCTCTAAGTTCCCCTCCAAGCCATGCACTATCCTGACTTGGAAATATCTCGCCATTCCTTCACTGCCACTGGGTCAAAATCCTGGAATTCCCTCCCTAATAGCATTGTGGGTCAATCCACAGCAGGAGCACTGCAGCGGTTCAAGAGGCAGCTCACCACCACCTTCTCAATGGCAACTAGGGATGGGCAAAACATGCTGGCCAGCCAGCGATGCCCACATCCCATAAACTGAATAGAAAAAAAAACCCTTCTCGTCAGTTCCAAAGCAGAACTGAATTGTTATGATATGGAATACACTGCCTGAAAGGGGGGTAGAATCAGATTCAGAAGAAAATCTCAAAAAGGAACTGAATAAATGCTTGCAAAAGGGAAATCTATAGAGTTACAATGAAGAGAGTAAACCCCTGGAACAAAATAAATAATGGTTTCAAATATTAGCCACAAGCATGATGAGCTGTGCATCTTTGCTGTTTTAAAATCTGACTATTTGCCCTACATAAACCCATACCCATCAAAAATTGCAGGGAGGCAGAGTGATAACATCATTGGACCAGCAATCCAGAGGCCAAGACTAGTGGCCTGGGGATATAGGTTCAAATCACAATACGGCAAATGAAATCAGAATTAATTTGATGTAATCGCTCTTGATTGCCCTAAGAACCTATTTGATTTGATTCACTAATACCCTGTAGGAAAAGAAATCTGATGTCCTTACCTGGTCTGGCTACATGCAACTCAAGACACATAGAAATGTGGTTGGCGCTTGACTGCCCTCTGGGCAATTAGCGATGGGCAGTAATTGGTGGCATTGACAGTGACATCTACATCCTTGAAAAAATTCACAACCTTGTATCCTAACTGGCACCAAAACCTATTTACCCATCTCCCATGTGTGCTCTCCCATCTTGCAACCTCATGAATTTAAAATTCCCAGCAATTTGCAAATCCTTCCACAGCTTACAAAAACATAAGGAATAAGAGTTTGAGCAAACCATTCAACTTCTCAAACATGCTCCACCCTTCCAACATGATGTCAGTCGGTCTTCAATCTAAACTTCACATTTCTGCCTATTCTGGACAGAGTGAAGGGACGATGCTTTAGAACGGAGATGAGGAGGAATTTCTTCAGCCAGAGGGTGGTGACTCTGTGGAACTCATTGCCGCAGACAGCTATGGATGTCAAGTTACCGAGTGTCTTTAAGACAGAGATGGATAGGTTCTTGATTAGTAACGGGATCAAAGGTTACGGGAAGAATGCTGGAGAATAAAGTTGAGAAACATATCAGCATGATCAAATGGTGGAGCAGACTCGATGGGCTGAAGGGCCTAATTCTGCTCCTATATCTTATTGTCTTATGACGTTCTAAAATTCTGCCTCAGCCTTAAGTATATTCAATGATAGAGCATCCACAACCCTCCAGTATATAGAGTTCTAAGGTTCATTACACTATATCAAGTCGTTTCTCCTCACTTCAGATCTAAATAGTCAAACGTTTATCCTGGGCCTGTGCATCAGCACTCTCTGCTTCTGGAGACTCTTCCAGTCCTCCAAACCTGCAAACTCTTGCACTCATCTAATCCTGGTCTCCAGTGCAGCTCTGATATTAAATCACTCAAACACTTGCAGCAGTGCCTACAGCTCACTATGGGCAAAGCTCTGGATTTTTCCTGCAAACTCTCCATCCCTCTCCTTCTTTAGGATACCCCTGAAACCTACAGCATATCTTTGGCCAAGTCGGTCCTCCTCTCCACTTATGTGGCTTGATGCCAAGTTGTGTTTGATACCACTCCTGCGAAGCACCTTGGGACTGCTGCTAGATTAAAGACATCTTATAAATGCAAGTTATTGCTGTCAGATTTCTTAGCGGAAGTAACTAGAATGAGAACGACAACCAGGTCTACAATGCAAGGAGAAACCACAGGCTGTGAAATATGATCAAATTATTACAAATACAATGAAAACTTGCATTTACACATTGAAAATTCCTCAGGGTGCCAGCTGGAGGAACTAATGGTTTGGTTTTATATGCTGAAAAGATTCACCAACCTGCAGCCTTCCCATGACAATCAATTGCTTCAGCATACCTTCCTGCTGCTAGCATACGCTCCGCCTTTCTGCTCTGCTGGTGAGCCTGCAAGAAACAATACTTCTAAGCAGGATGTAGTGGGTTGTTTCAAATCAAGTTCTACCATGATAGCTATTATTCTATTAGACAATAGCCTTGCTGCTGAACTTGGCCATTTTCATTTATACTGCTGGAAAAGACATACACACCTCTAAAAGTGCACGATCTTGTAGACTCCTTATGGTATCGCACTTCCTCATTTATCAATCCTGAAGCAAGATTTGTCAGATTTGTGCTTGGAATAAAATGGATCATTACAAGAACATCACGGCAATCACAAACACAATGATAACCTCAGTGAAAACTGTCCTATTTCCAGATACAATAAACTGTTCAGTTGTAGCTGCTGCTTTGTCACTATCTTGAGTACATAATTAAAGCTGCCATTATCCATTGCATATTATGAGTGGTGATTACTCCCAAATATAAACATTGAAATTGGTTCTCAAATGTTCTGAAACCAAGTCTTTGTTATATACCACTGCACTTTGCACTACATCTCAATTGCAGTTTCACCTAGCACCCAAGATGCCTTGAATATCTGTCACTGCAATGAATACATTCCTCCCAATACAAATTACACTTGCAAAACAATGTATAATGTCTTGGATTAGAAATCACACAAGCCATTACTGCAACTGCACATTTCAAACTAAAATGGTTTCTGATTCAGAAAATTAGACCATAAGATGTAGAAGCAGAAATAGGCCTTTCAGCCCACTGAGTCTCCTCTGGTATTCATTGAGATAACAGCTAATCTGATAATCCTCAACTCCAGTTTCCTGCCTTATTCCCATAAACTTCAATTCCCTTACTGTCTATCTCAGCCTTGGATATACTTAACAACCGAGCTTTGAAAGCACTCCACAGTAAAGAATTTCACAGATTCACTCCCTCCTTGAGCGATATCATTCCTCATCCATTTTAACTGGGTGACCCCTTGTTCTGAGATTAAGCCCTTTGATCATAGAATCTCCCAAAAGAGGAAACAACTTCTCCACATCTACTTTGTCAAGTCCCCGAAGAGTCTTATATTTCCATAAGGTCTCCTCTTATTCTTTTGTTAGTTAGCTAATCCTCTACCTATGCTAACATACTGCTGCCAACACCATGGATCATCTTACTAAGTAGCCTTATTTGCAGTCATTTTCAAATGGCTTTTGGAATTCCGAATGTATTACATCTACTGTTCTCCCTTATCTCTCCTGCTTTATACCTCCTCAAAGAAATCCAATAAGTTTGTCAGACATGATTTCCCCTTCATGAAGTCATGCTGACTCCACACAATCCTCTTATGTATTTCTAAATGCTCTGCTTTACGTCCTTTAGAACAGACTCTGAAATGTTCCCAATGACCAATGTTAAGCTAACTGGTCTATAGATACTCACTTCTGTCACCCTCGCTTTTTGAATGAGAGAGACTGCTGTGTTGGCAGTTTTCCAATATCTAAGGATTCTTGGAAGATTACCACCAGTGCATCATCCACCTCTGTAGCTACTTCTTTTAAATTCCTAGGATACAACCCATCATGTCCAGGGGACTTATCATCCTTTAACTCCCATTAGTTTCCATGGCACTTTATCTCTAGTGATATCATGTTTATTTTCTCCCTCTCCACCACAACCCCTTTGATTACTTAGCATTTTGAAATACTAATGTCACCTCTACTGTAGAGACTGATGCAAAGAAATTATTCAATTATGCCATTTGCCTCGTTCCCCATTATTATTTCCCCATCTCATTCTTTAAGGGGCCTACATTCACTTTAGTCATTCTCGTTCATTTTTACACTTTTTAAAGAAGCATTTAGTATCACTTTTCATATTACTCGTAGGCTTGTTCTAAGTTGATTTTCTCTTTTTTTTTGGGGCATATTTGTTTGAAATTTGGTTTATAACGCATACATGCAACTTATTCAGATTCACACTTCAAATAGCTAATAGAAAATAGATCTTAAAATGAAAGGTGCAGCAGAAGAGTGTCATGAGTGGCTTGGTTCACCAACAATTCTCTTCTACTGAACCTTAAGGCGAACTCAGAACCTTCATGAACAAACATTCTAAATTGTTAAAGATTTAATGTTTAGAAATGGATGAAGCAGTGAAGTTGTAGTAATGACACTGGAATCCACACATTCTAGGGACACGTGTTGAAATCCTACCATGGCAGATGATGAAATTTGAATTCAAGAAGATCAGGAATAAAAGTTAGCCTAATGCAACTGTGCAACCATTATTGATTGTTTTAAAAACCCATCTGGTTCCCTAATGTCCTTTAGGGAAACGAATCTACTAACCTTGCCTATATGCAACTCCAGAGCCACAGCAACGTGGTTGATCTTAACTGCTCTCTGGGCAATAATGCTGACCTGGATAATGATGCTCACATTCCATGAGTGAAAAGAAAAATGACTAAACACAAATTTGACAGACTAAAAAAGGTACTGTACAATGTTCAGTTGTAACACAGGTTGCCGATTGCCGTTTGTTCCCACAGAACTTGTTTTACTTTTCTGTGGGGTTTCATCATTCATGAAGCAATGTTTGGGTTAAAAAAAAATCACAATGTGATATGGACAGAATCAGGAAACCCAGGCCTATCTTCTTTAATTCAGAAAGACATCTCAGGAGAAGAGGAAAATGTATTGCCAATTATCTGCACCATGGCAAGTCTGAGGGGCTCTGAGAACTCAGTCTTTTACTGACTAACCAAATCAATAGTCTATGTACACAAATTGTACAACGTGAAATGATATCACATTGTACTTTGAACAGCTGCATGCAAAGTCCTGATACAGTGCGTCTCACAGTTTTTGTAAGTAAAGGCCTCCAGAGAGAAAAAATATAGATAAAAGAAAAATCTTTAGGAACGTGTTATACAACAGGCCTCCTGGCAAACTAAATATATAACAAGTATGATGCGTACTATACCTGAATTGATTTTAATTAATTTCCTGCAAGATCACTATCTGGATAGATAAGGTGAAAGTACATTTTCTTTAGTACTGCATTACTTTATGAATCAGTTTGCAATAAGCAGTAAGATAAAGGAATTTTAACAAAAGGTTAAAAAGGATCAGGAATAGAAGGCCGCTGTAGGACTTCCAGCTTATTAAGGCCTACAGAATAGTTACAATCTGCCTGCCTGCAATAGTCCCTCATGGCGAATCTCCAATGCCTGCCCAAAGTTGCATTAAGGCGAGAAAACTCCTCATTCTGAGGCAGAAGTGACATTGGGACATGAAGAGAGAGGGGAAGTTATGCAGAAGTTGCTCTTGCACACCTTGATCAGGCACAGCATCACTGGGAGAGTCCTGGCTGCCTAACCACCCTCATATACAAAACTGGCAACTTAAAATGACATGTGGATTTATTTTTCAAACAATTAAAATTATATTGCTTTAAAGAATGGGTTTGTATACTATAAATCTTCCCAATGTCATGAAAATCTTTTAAAAATAAATAACAGTTTAGGGGTCTTTAATGCATTGGCTATCACGACTGTCAATTCGCAACTACTGTGCTGAAAGGTTAACATTCCCAACTGCTTCTTGTGCAGAATTCATACAAATGAGATATGTCACAATCAGTACATTATTTGACTGGCTTTGTGACTGTTGAGGTTGCAAAATAATGCCAGTGGGATCACTTATAATACAATATCACAGCACATGTATCTGGATTCCACACACAAATTCTCCTGTTCTTTCACACAAATGCAGCAGAGGATCAGTTAGGTCAGTTGGCAGGATGGTTGATTTACAAGACCATAACCATTAGAGGCAGAATTGGGCCTTTCAGCCCATCGAGTCTGCTTCATCATTTGATCATGGCCAATATGTTTCTCAACCCTATTCTCCTACCTTCTGTCCAAAATCCTTAATTCCTTACTAATCAAGAACCTATCTACCTCTGTCTTAAATACACTCAATGGAGGCATGGTGACTCAGTGGTTAGCACTGTTGCCTAACAGCGCCAGGGATCCGGGTTCAATTCCACCCGTGGGCGACTGTCTGTTTGGAATTTGCACATTCTTCCCATGTCTGCATGGGTTTCCCCCCACAGTACAAAGGTGTGCATGTTAGGTGGATTGGCCATGGGAAATGCAGAGTTACAGGGACAGGGTGGGGAGGGGGAAAGAGTCTGGGTGGGATTTTTTGGAAGGTCAATGTGGTATCGATGGGCCAAATGGCCTGCATCCACACTGTAGGGATTCTATGATTCTACGAGTTGGTCTCCATAGCATTCTGTGGCAATGAGTTCCACAGATTTGCTACCCTCTCGCTGAAGAAATTCCTCTTCATCTCAATTTTAATGGCTCGTCCCTTTGCTCCGAGACTGTGCCTAGAATCCTAGTCTCTCCACATCCAGTCTACCAGACCTCTCAGTACTTTAAGTTCAATGCAAAGTGACACCATGAAGGACTCTCCTTCTCAGCCTCTCCCCTTGCCGGAGGTGTGGTGACCCTCAGGTTAAATCACCACCAGTCTCTCTCAAATGATAAAGCAGCCCTATAGTCTATAAGACTATGCCGACTTTACCTTTACTTTTATGTAGCATCATTAATAAATCTGACCGCTACCACTATGCAGATACGGTACAGTCATTCCTAGAGAAAAAAACTGGACATGGACACAAGTAGTTAGAAGTTGCTACAAATCACCTGACTATACAACTACAACCACATTTCATGCGGCATACAG